GGGGGGGAGCGAGGCCAGGCCGTACCACTCTTGGCCCGGTTCTCCTCGTTGCGGTTGATGAGCAGGAAGCGAGGACTCTCGGGGCAGAAGGGCAGCAGGATGCACTGGATCAAGGCCGGGAGGAAGATGATGCTCAGTAGCAGGGGCCACAGCTCCTGGTTGCCCATGATGGAGTCCAGGCCGAACACCTAGGGCAAGAAGCAGCAGGCATGGAAGGAACAGCTGTGGGGACCCCTCAGTTCACCTTCAGTGGTCCCCACCTGCTTGGCCACTGCCCCTTTAGGGAAAGGGCTCTGGGTGTGAAGCCCGAGGGACCTGGGCTCCCATCGGCATTTCGACCCACGTGAGGCTTAAGCTCATCTGCAGCACTGGCCACCCCACCCCCCTCTTAGCCTCTCCTGGGGACCAAAGGGCAAGACAGCATGGGCAGGGCTGGGGGCTAAGAGGGGCCGCCCTCCGGGGGAGAGGGCGCAGTCAGCGTAAAGGCCTGGGGCTTGCAGGGGATACAGTTTGCTGTGGTCACAAGGCCCAGGGGGCCCAGGGTGGGAGCTGTCTTCTGGGGACTGTGCCCAGGTCATGTACCACGTGTCTTTCTCTGCAGGGCTGTAGAGGCTGAGCCTGCTAACTGAAGGTGGGTGGTATGAACCCATCAGCCACTCTATAGGGTAGAATCTGCTTTGATAAAGGCTGACAGCCTCCGGGACCCTGTGAGACAGTTCTACCCTGCCCAGCAGGACTGCTCTGGGTTGGAGAGGGTTGCGTGGCTAGGGTAACTCTGTGAGGCTGGACTCCGAGCTGAGCCCCTGAAACTGCAGGTGGGCAGCACATACCTGGGCGATGAGGATGCCGACGACGATGCCCAGCTGGTGCAGGGTGCCCAGGGCCCCGCGGAGGGCGGTGGGGGACACCTCCCCCACATACATGGGCACAAAGCCCGTGGTCAGGCCACTGTACACCCCGATGATGAACCGACCCAGGATCAGCATCTCGAAGGACTTGCCCAGCTTTGAGAAGCCCATGAGCAGGGAGGACAAGAAGGCCAGTAGGTTGATCATCAGCATGGAATTCCGCCTGTGGGCGGGGCCGCAGGTCAGGGGGGTGCCCTGGGTAAGACTCCCAGGGGCAGGAGTAGTACCCAGGACAGGCAGGCAGGGCAGTCTCCCACTTCCCAGTCCAACCCGGCATTCCGTGGGCAGGGCAGCCCCTCCCCTTCCCTCAGACCAGGGCTCCCCAGGGGCAGAGCCAGCCCAGGACCCTCCTGCTCACCGGCCAAAGCGGTTAACAAAGAGGCCCACGGAGAAGGAGCCGATCATGCCGCCCACGGAGAAGATGGCCACGGAGAGGGACCAGAGCGTGGTGAGCGTGGCGGGCAGGATGGGCTCGTTGTAGCGGTGCAGCCATGTCTGGTTGTAGAACTCCTCGATCACCTGCAGGGGGAAGCGGCCTGGCGGGTGAACCCAAGACCAGGACCCTCCCTCCAAGAGGGCCCAGCTGCATGCTCCTGACCGGATCCCCCCCTGCCCCTCCTGTTCCTGGGCCTCACTTTCTCCACATGAGGAACTGTCTATGGCAGGCTCGGCCCTCGCACTACCCTCGCTCACGGTCCACCTTCCAGTGTCCTGTGGCGTCACACACCCAACACGGTGTGCTGGCAGATGACCAATAAGTGGCAGTGACAGTTCAGCCAGAGGGAGGCACAGGGAGGAAGTACTCCTCCACTTCAGTTCCTGCCACCAGGGCCCTGTGCCAACCCCCCGCTGGAGGAGACACAGCTGGACAGACAGGTTTTGCCATCTAGGAGCCAGGGAGGAGTGAAGGCCAGGCCCTCTGACGCTGACACTGGGGACTGGCAGCCTCCTGACAGGGCACCGCCACCTTTTGTTCCCAGGCCTAGCTCCCTCAGGTCTAAGCCCACCTGGAACAGCTTCCAGCCTCCTGCCCCTTCAGGTGCCCAGCTGGGCGGCAAAGGGGAAAGCTGAAGGACAAGGCCGCCATTCCAGGAATTGGAGACACCTGTCCCAGCACAGCCCTGCTTTGGGGCTGGGGGGAGCTGGCCGGGTCCCAGGTTTGAGGTAGTGGGGCAGCACTGGTTTTGCCTGACCACACTCATGCATCATGCCCTGAGACTTGCCAGACCCATCCAAGCCACCCTTGGAGCTGGGTGCAGGCCCAGGGTCCACAGAAACAGTTTCTCGTACGCTAAGAGCAGACGGCTTCCAAGAATCTGTGGGGAAATTCCCTTATCTTTTAATCCCACATTTCCACAAGCCATTTAGAGCCCCCTTGTATTGAAAGTGCTTATGGCATAGTGGTTACACGCTGGGCTGTTAACTGCAAGGTCAGCAGTTCGAAACCAAAGAGGGGGTTCTTTCTCCCATACAGAATTACAGTCTGGGACACTCACAGGGGCATGCTGAGTCTACCTCCAGTGGGTTTGGTTTTATCCAGTGCCCTGTTGCTTAAAATCCATGCTCCTGCTACATGCCCAAATTTCAGCCCAGCCTGTCACCTGCCACCAGCTCCACCCCTAGCACACCAGAGGCACCTTCCGTGCACGGTCCACTCCCCGCCCCTCCAGGCCTTGGCAGATGTCCTGCTCCTACCTGGAGGGCACCTCTCAAGGGTGTGATCTCTGACCACCTGGAGAATCCGCCAGGGCCTGTCCCAGAGCAGAGGCCAGGCCTTCGGGTGAGGGAAGGGCCTGGGTTCTCCTGGAAACCTGCTTCTGGGGGCAGGAGGGCTGACTCCCAAACAGAGCACAGTGACTGTTTTCAAGAGACACGGCCACAGAGGAGGGTGGACTGGGGCAGTGAGGGCCCGTTTATCAGGCTGTGTGGGGAACACGCTGTCCTGGACAAGGGAACGGTCCAGATAAGTAAGCTCAACTCCTGGTCTCTCGGAGGCCCCAACTCTTCTGAGCCGACATCAGGTGGAAGAGACCTTTCTCCCTTCTGTCACTCTCACTTGGCTGTCCTGGCAACCAGTCCCAGGGACTCACCAAGAAGAGGGGTTTCCCCCTGTGCTGACATCCTCCCACACCGCTAGCTCTCTGCCTCCCATAGTTCTCAGGGTAATGCGCCCTTCCCTCTGGAAAGGTGAGTAAAGGGAGAGTAATGCTGAGTCAGGGCTTACAGGAGTGGCAGCTCAGGTGGGACCCTCTTCCTCTAGTGACTTGGCTCGAGATTGGGAGATAATGGATAAACTCGTGGTGTTATCAAAGCCCCGCCCCAGATTAAGCAGTGTCAAGCCCACGGTAAGCACAAGTCAGAGGATCCACACCCAGTCCAAGCTGCTGCCCGGCTCTTTCCCCAGCCCACTCACTACCTGCGGACTGGGAGGCAAAGGATGGCGGGGTTTAGGGGCTATGAGAAACCTCTCTCCAGCCCATCATTGAGCCTGGGGGACCAAGAAGCCCAGGGGCCACTGAGCATCAGTGTGAGTCGGCTTAAAGAGATGGGCTGGCTCTAGAGAGTTGGCTCTGGAGAGCTGCAAGCCCGTGGGCTGGCTGATTTCCAGTATAAACAAGTCCTTACTCCCCGCGCGGTTCTCCAGGAGAGCTGCTTTAAACAGCTCCTTAGGAGTCCCCCTGGTCCAGCCTGGGCAGCTGTGGGTGAGGACCACAGGTCTGGGAGGAAGTGCTCACTTCCTCTCTGTGACAGGGTGTCTGGGGCCTGGGTGGGTGGCAGAGCACTGTGACGCATCGCCAGACGTAAATATGCATGCGCTGACTACCGTCATCACTGTGGTTCCTGTGACCTTCAGGGGCAGGAAGGACAGGGCTTTCCATTAAAAAAAAATTTGCCCGTGGACAACACCCCGCCCCCTGAGGAATGTACAGTGCAGGGAAGAGGCTGGCAGGGGCAGGGGCCTGCTGCAGGAGGCCAAGCCCTGTCTGCTGAGCCCTGCCTGGCTGTCTAGGGCAGAGGGACGAACCAGACCGGTCTGTGGAATCCCGGAGAGGACAGGCCTCAAAGGACATAGCGCTCGTGGAAAGAAGAGCTTTCTAGGTCCCAGGGAGTGACACTGCCCCGCCCCATCTCTGAAGGTGGTGAGTTCCCTGTCAATCAGGGGTGTGCAAGTCACGTGATCTAGGGCAGGGTTTGGCGTGTTTTCGGTACAGGGCCCGAGAGAAAATATTTTAGGGTCTGTGGGTCACATGCGGCTTCAAGATCTTATTTTTCTTCCTCCTTTTTCTTAAACAATCCTTAAAAAATGTTTTTAAAAATCCTTAGCTCATGGGCTGTTAAACAAAACAAAACTAACAACAGACTGCCAGCCAGATCCGACCTTCCTGCCCACCCTTGGTCTAGAATCTAGCCTGCTGACAAGAGGCCCATCCAGTAGATGGAGTGTGTTTTTTGGGGTCTCCAGCAGGTCCCAACATCCCTTCCTATGGGATTCTGTAGACATCCCTTGACCCCAGGAAGCTGGCTTTCCCAGATGGCCCCTGACAGATAGACACCCTGATGGACACCTCCCCACCCCTCTAGGCCCTTCCTCCTCTCAGATGTAACTGGGGGGACTAAGGGGTTAAGCAGCCAAGCAGTGAGCTCCAGGAAGGGGGAGGAGGGCTAGGAGATCCAGTTTAGTCCCTCACCTTGGCCCTGACCCCTGTTTTCTGTCCTCCATCCCCCAGTTTCCAGCCCAGAGCTATATCTCCATAGCAACCCATAGCCACACCCAGAGCGAGCCTGCTGGGAACAGAGAGCCAGAAGCTCCTGGATAAGCTGGACAGACAGCCCTGCCTGCTGGTCTCTCCGGGTCTCTCCCCAGTGCCTAGCAGGCCAGAAGCTGGGTCCCAAGGCCAACCAGGCGACTTCTCTTGAAGAGCCCTGAACATGGCTTCTCTCCGAGCCAAGGCCAGGTCTTCGGTGCTGCCTCAGCTGCCTCCTGACTGGTCCCCGGCCCCCAGGGTGACAGGGCAGCCAGGGTAAAGCTCCCCACCCACACGATGACTCAGGCCCTTCCTCTTACTACCCGGACACCCACACCTCTGGGCTCCACGTGGGTGCTCTGTGCCTTCTTCCTGGTGAGTTGGTTCATCACCTTTCAGATCCTGCACTGGCTTCTGAAGGTCATTCTGATAGCCACCCCTTCACTGCAGGGGTTCTAAGTTGGGTGGGAGGAGCTGGGCGGTGAGGGTGGGGGGATTGTGTGGCAACTGTTCAGAGACAGTTTGGGCCGTCACCCTGGCAAAATGCTTCTGGAAGCTGGTGAGTAGAGGCCAGGGCTGCTGGCAAACATCCTACAATGCCCCAAACAGTCCCACTGCCAAAGAATGACCTTGGCCCGACCAGCAACCGTGCTGGTCCTGGAGAATCTTGGCTCAGTAAGCCAGCACCTGCCCCTCCCCCGGCTTCCACGGTGTCTCTCCAGCTTCTGTGGCTGCTAATTAGTGTTTGATGCTCCTCAGGTCTGATTTCACCTGTGTCTGGTGTCCAGCACCGGCTTGTGGGTAGAGAGCTGCTACTGACGAACAAGCCCTGGGGGTCGCTAAGGACTCAGCGATGCATGTGGATATAGTGGCGGCCACTATGTCCTACATCCTAAGACCTTGTGCAACTGTGTGTGGGAGCCCGCTGGGATGCCTGAGCAGAACAGAGCTTGACCCGGCGTGGATGTATGTGAGAGGCAGGCTCTGGCATATAACCGCCGGCCCTTCCCCAGCGGCCAAGGCTCAGGTTGGAGTTGGACTCACTGGGGTTGAACCCCTGCCCCATCACTCACTGGCTGTGTGTCCGTGGGCCCATTCACAGCCTGTTCCCGCTTCTTGGGGAACAAGGATGACAGTGCCTACCTAAGTGGACTACGATGAGGAACAATGAGTTGCTATTCCTTACAGGGCTTGGGACCATGTCAGGCACACAGCAAGGAAGCTGGAAGGGCTTGTGGAGAAAGACCCCAGATTCTTTGGAGCAAGGCTGATGAGAAGGGGCTGCCGAGCCCCAGGGAGGGCGGGCAGGGCGCTTCTAGCTGCCATTGTCCGGGAGCTGACCGGTTTCCTCCTCTGTCAAATAAGGAGGGCTGAGCCACGGAGTCCTCTGCTCTGTCCAGGCCAAACGTCTGGATTCTGAGGAGGCCTCTTTCTCAGACATGCCTGACAGTCCCTTGGCCAGGACCTCACGGTTTCTCAGTGGCCTTTAGTCATCTCTGCTGGCAACTGAGCTCACTTGGGGTGGGAGCTGGGGGTAAGGCAAGCCTTGGGTCATCTCTGGGTGGTAGTCAGGATGCCCTCTGTGGATTTATTCGCCTCCTCTGTGGCTGAGCTCATGCCCATCTCTTCATGCCCATCTCAGAGAAACCCCTGGCAGCATGTCTGCACGCACACACTGCAGCGTGGGGGGGTGGGGGGCAAGCACAGGGCATAGGGAGCCCTGAAACTCGAGCCCAGCTCAGCCTCTCCCTCTGCAGGTGAGCTCCCCTGACCTCAGTTTCCTCTGTAGACCTGCTTGCCTTGTAAAGCTGCTTCAAGATAATTTACGGGGAGGTGCTCTATAAACATTTAAGATAATGTTATGATTCATTAACCACTTCCAGGAGGAAACCCTGTGGGGCCTGGCTTATTGAAGAGGCCACGCTTTTGTAATGGACAGTTATTACTTGCATCTTAAACATCAGGGTAGCAGTCTCTTCTCCAGAGTAGGCAAACCATGACCAACCCAGAGCAACTGCCCAAGTTCACCTAGGCAGCTATGAGACGTCCGCCAGGTAGGGATTCTACAGCAGCGGAGCAAGGCGTGCCACTGCGTCTTGGCACAAGCTGGTCCCTGCCTGGGTGCCTGTCCCTCCTTCTCCACAAAAGCTCACCCATCAAGGTCTAGCAAGGCAGCCAACTTCTCTGAACCCCTCTCTCCCCTCACCGCCACCCTGGCAGAACATGTTGAAGTCCTCTATGAATCTACCCGGGGCCTTCTGACGTTTGAGGGTGGGACAATCCGGTTCCCCTCTGCCTCCTGAGCCCAGGCCAGGACCAGACACAAAGGTCAGGATTTGGCTGTCTTGGTGATGGCTACCCCCCCCCATCCCTCGCAAGACACCCTGCGGCTACAATGGTGAGGTGCTTGGCTCTTAACCCAAAGGCTGGGGCTGTGAACCTACCAATGGCTCCATGGGAGAAGACCCAAGATCTGCTCTATAAAAAGGAACCCAGCCCCCACCCCACCCCCGGGGGGCAGTTTGACCCACAACTACAGAGTGGCTGTGAGTCGGAATGGACCCATCTCTCCCCACGATGCTCAGAAAGTCTTGGCAGCCGTGAATCCCGTCCATCCCAAGACAATGCCTTCAGTGTCGATTGTCAGTGGTGTGTCACCCGGTTTGCGGGCCACCTGGCTTGCCCTGTTATTACACATGCCCTCCGAGCTGCACTTCCATTTCTCCTAGTTAGCGCTTCTAATCTGCTCCCGGCTGGAAGAGCTAGTGAGAAGTGTTTGGAAAGTGCAAAAGTAAATAGACCAGGGGCCCAAGTGCTTGCCCCGGAAACGCCACTCGATTCCGGTGCGTGCGCTTGAGCGCTATCAATTCTAGTCACTCTGGAGCTTCCCTCCTCAGAGGTGGTGTCTGAAGAGACCTCTGGCCAGGTGCCCAGGGTTCCTGTAAAGGCCGCTTATAACCTCAGCTGGGCCCTCTGCGCTGCCCACCCACTTTTACAGCCATTCCAACTCTCACCTACTTCTGATCACATCCTTCTGAACCTCCACAACCTGAATCTGAGGATCAAGTCCCTCCTGGCCAAATCCAACCTTTCCTTTCCCAACTCCTGCCTCTGTGAGAAGCCTCTTCCCTTGCTGCCGCCTCCCTCTTCTGCTGACACCCTTCAGATTTAAAAAGGAAGTCTTCAGATTAAAACAAATAAAAATTAAATCCGAACATACCCCCCTCTTCCAGTGCTTTCTTCCTGTTCCACAGGTGCCTCATTTCGCTCTCTCCACCCATGGGACTCCACTTTGCCACCCCCAAGGTCACCGCCACATCCTTTTTTTGGGGGGTGGTGGTGGGGTTTAGCGCTGTAGCCATGATCTGTGGTTCTGTGCCATCTCGGAGGCATTTGGCCGCCTTCCTTCCCTCTACCGATGGGCAGGCACACTTCTAGTACGCTACCACTGTGCGGACTCCTATTCATGAAGGAGACCCCCGTGAATGGTGGAGTAGAATAGGGCCCACGGGGTGGTCTTCAATAGCTGGCTCTTCAGAAGTAGATCATGAGACAGACCATGGGAGTTCAAACCGCCACCCTTTCAGGGAGTAAACTCGCGCGTTCATGTGCGTCATCCAGGGGCTCCCACCCACGAAAGAGCAGTGAACAAACTAGACGAGAGCCCCTGCCCTTCCAGCTTTGACGCTCCCTTTGTCTTAAAAAGTCCTGGGCTCCTGGTTTGAGAGGTCTAGCTCTTCTGCCCCTGCCTACCAGCCTCCTTTGCCCAATAGGGATGTTCTCAGGGGCTTGAGCCAGCCTCGTTATTCCAGTCGCCCGAGGGCATTGGCATCCATACCTCTTCAGATACCGGCGCTCAACCCCAAGCCTTCCCTCCAGCCTGGCTGCTCTCCTAAGAAAGATCCGTCCGTGCCTCCTGTCGCTGCTTCCCACCCAACTTCAATTCCTGCGCATCCTTCAGATGCCTGTCAGCTCAGCACACCCGCTCTGCAAAGCCTTCTCTTTTCCTCATGATGAATCAATCACCAAATCCCGTCCATTGGTCCTTCTGTGTTTCATGTTTATACTTGTGTTGCAACACGGTGTTCTCACTCCTTTGCCTGTCTCTGTTCTCACAGTCTTGGACCCAGCCTGCCTCACTAGGTCTGAATCATTTCCCTGTGATGCAAATCTGACCTTGTCTGCCCTTGTCTGGTGGCTTCCTGTTGTCCACTGATGTCCACACTCACAAGGCCCTTCCGGTCGGTCCCTGGTTGGCCTTCCCAACCTTCCTTTTCTGCTGTTCCTCAAGTGACACCCAGCCAGTCACTGTTTACGGATGTCAGCTTACCTCGCTTCTCGGCATCTGTCCCCATCTGCTGACACCCCCACTCTCCTCCCCCCAGATTCCATCTCGGGAATCCCTATCCTGACCATAGGAGCCCTGGTGGCGAAGGGGGTTGCGCTTTACACTCTAACAGCGAGGTCAGCAGTTCCCATCCACCAGCTGCTCCACAGGAGGAAGAGGAGTCCTTTTGCTCCCCCAAGATTTATACTCTCAGAAACCCACTGGGACTGTACTGTTTTACAGGGTCGCTGTGGGTACGAATCAACTCTATAGCAGTGAGCTGAGTTTTCAAGAGTTTTATTCTGGCCATGAATCCTGACTGAGGGTCCTTGGGTCTGCCTTTAGCTCCCTCCCTTTGTGACCACTTTCAAGATATTGCTGGATCCAGTCGCACAACCTTGGCTGCACACGACTTTAAAATTCACCCAAGACCAAGTGGATCGGAATCGAGTGTCCACCTGCGATCGAGGTGGAGTGCACTTTGTAAAAGCAGGTCTTGCAAGTGTGGCCCCAGCCGCCATTTCAGGCAAGTGTGGAAAAGTCCCACCGCTGCCGCTGTGCTCAGCATGACTCAGCCAGCACAGCACGCCTCCCGCTCCAATACCGGCTGTGGGCGTGGCCCCATAGCCACCCTCCACCTATTTGGAGGAGCTGACTGACGCTGCCCAGCCCCCTGAACAGGCTGCGTGTTCCTCGGGAGTCAGACACTCACTACTCTCCTGCCTCAACTACCAGCATCACCGGTGGATAAGGAGTGAATGAGGGCGGGCGGGGTGGCCCCTCTCACCCCATCCTTCCTGGGAAGGGCTAATTCTTCCATCTGATGAAGATCGGAGACTCTGGTGAGGCTTCTGACACTGCCTATTTACCAGCTAAGAGCGTCTCCCCTCTGACTGCCGGAGCTTCAGTTCCCAAGTCTATTTAATGGACATCTGTCCAGCCGCATACCCTGTGTAAAATGTCCGCGACAGAGGTGGGGCTGGGCTGGTGAATTTCCTGTCCTGTCCTTTCCCCTCCCCCTCTGTCCCCCCCGGAAAGCAGACGGGCTCTGTAGAGAAATGGAGGTGATCGATCGCCTGGGGGCCTTCCAGCCCTGACATTCAAGTGAGCAAGTCAGGGCAGATCCAGGATGGGTCTCTCGGAAAAGGAAGTCAATCACAGATCTCCAACCACTGTGGTTCCCTGCGGTGAGACACCATCTTTGCTTTGACTGGCACAGGGCCTTTGGGGAGAGAAAGCACTGCCAAGCCAGAGCCAATTCCTCACACGTGAGGCATGGGGGGGGTGAGCACAGCTTCCGGGACCCCCTGGCAGGCATGGGGCTCCAAGGCAGCCTGCTATTAGATACCCGCTCTGGCTATGTCCAGATGGGAGGAGCAGCTTGGGCAGGTGTCTCCTCTGGACACTTTCTCCATCTGAAAGTGGGCGCGATGATGACTGCCTGCCTGCCAGGACTAGAGGGAGGAGCAAGTGCCAAAGTCCTTTGTCGGGCCCAGAACCACATGGGAACATGGCGTCACGACTGACTCCGAGCACTGCTCACGCAATGGCGTGGCCGTGTTGGGCAGAAGATTGCTGAGGAAGACCCCTAAGGAATCTGCAGGCTCTGATGGTCTAGCATTTTTCCGTCATAGTCCAAGGCCAGAGAAGTGCCTCTGCCCTCCTGGTGGAGGAGGGCAAGGAGAGGTAGGCAGTGACCTAATGCAAATGACCACTGCCCCCCAGGGGGTAGTAGGAGCCTGTAGGTGTGGGCTGTGAGCCAAGAGAGTAGGTAGCAAAGGATGGCATAGCACTCACCTTCTGGGGGGCATTGATGACCCCAGTATTGTAACCAAACTGCAGGGAGCCGAGTACTGCCCCTCCCACAGCCAGCAAGAGGCGACCGGTCAGCTTCTGCGGAGAGAAACAAAAAGGAGGGCTGTCACAGGCAGGCAAGCCATGTCTGGGCCCAGGTTACTCGAGGGCAGGGCCTGCGCTGGCAGGTCCCCCTGTTCAGACTGGCTCACCTGACTCTTGGCGGCGGCACCATGCCTGCCCTTCTCCCAGGAAACTTGGCCACTCCTGACCTTAGGTGCCTGAGCCAGCCCTGCCCATTTCTAGATGCTGGCCGCTGCCTTACTGGGGGAGAGGGGGGTGTTAGCACCCTGGTGTCTCCTCCTCCTGGTGGAACCATGCTTGGGGTCCAAGTGGTTCTTGACCAGGAGATCCAGGAGTCAAACCACCCACGCATTGGAACGCCATCAGCCAAACGATGTGGTAGGTGTATCAAGGGGGAGGGGTTCGCCCTGGACTTGTTGCTGGCACCTAATTCTAGCCCACGGCCAACTTGTGAGCTACAAAACGCAAAGTCATTCTCCTTAACACCTCTCCGACCAAGGCCAACCTGTGGACTACAAAATGCTAAGTCATCCTCCTGAACACCTCTCCCCGCTTTTCCCTCACAGTTCTGCATCTACAAAATGGGCTGAGTCATGCTGTCAGCATGAGATGCGGGCCTGGGCAGCTGAGATAAAATGCATATCATGCAAGGCTCGGCGGCAGAGCCAGGGCTGGAACCTTGGTCCCCGACTACCCCACGCGGTGCCCCGCGTAGCAAAGATCCCCGTCCTACAATGATTTCTCCAGGGTCCGGTCAGCACCGATGACGTGCCAGCGAGAAATGTGCTTTGGAAAAGCATGACACAAGACGGAAGCAAGCAAGGAGGTCAGGCCAAGGAATTTCTGGGGAGAGACAAGCCAGTGGGCTCATGTCCCCTGGGGGCTGCTGCAGGGAGGGACCTGTTTATACAAAGATGAGCCAGGCCATGCCAGAGGAAGGGAGAAGAATCTTTCTCTGGCTTTTAAGTCAGCCAAGAAATGGGACGTTCCAGAGGCGCACCAAAGAACTGGCCTGTCATTATTTGAGCGTATCACCCAAGCTGGACACACACCGAGGTGGACGGCCTTGCTGTGGGTCTCGGTTTACACTCACAACCGAGGGGTGGCCAGGGGCACAGCTGTTCATCAGATGTCTCTGGCCTTTGCCTTCTCTAGATGCGGTCAGGCAGCAGTTGCAAAAGCCCCGGTTCTCACATCAGAGGTGGGGGGAGGAAGAAGACAGACCGCCCCCTCACCCCCACAGGCTTGCTGCGCTCTGGGGCTTCCTTCCCACAGGGCCATCTGGCCCCTCTGGGGCTTCCCTCCGACCTGGCTGCCTTCCCTCCAAATCCAGCTCAGAAGACAGGCCTCCAAGTCTCCCTTCTCTCAAGCTCACTGTGAGCCTCCAGACCCTGGGCCACTGGTTCTGGGTGTGTGGTGAACATTTGCCCAACGGTGCCAAGTGCTGGGCTCCCAGTAGCAGGGCTCTCCATCCCACTTTTGAGTCCAGCGATGGCTGGGTTACCCCTGAGCATGCACGCCCAGGACCTTCTAACTAGTGAGGTGCGGGCATTCGCCTGGTGATGTCCAGGATGTGGTACGACACAAGACCCTACCGTCCCTGAGTCAATTTCAACTCCTAATGACCCAGCGTGGGGTTTCTGAGGCTGTAAATTCTCTATAGAAGCAGAGAGCCTCACCTTTCTCCTCCTAAGTGGCAAGTGGCTTTGAACCACGGACCTTACGGTTACCTGACAGCACTACGGGGGATACTTTAAAATGGCGTCCAAGTTCTGCATCCTGATCCTTGTGAGGATAAATGTAGAGCTAGCAATGCAAGTCTGTGGTTTAAGAAAGCATGGCATGTCTATGATGGAGGACATCTAGGAGAACTGCTGTCCTTGCACGTTGATATGCTCTGCACAAAAAGCCAGCTTTGGAGCAGGGAGTATTATGACATGCAATATGGGCATTCCCAAAAGTGGCCGGGGCTAAGGGGCCATACATCCACTTATTTCCAGAATGTATGCTGTGCTCTGGGACAGGGCAGGACTAATCCCTCTTGCAGCTCTTTGCACTCTGATCCCTGTCAATGTATCAACCTAGCTAGGCAAGCTACAAATGTTGACCAGCCCTGGGATTTCACAGAAGCAGCAAAAAGAGTGAGAAACCATGCAGCCCGCACAACGCACGCTGTGGCCCAGTGGCTCTGCGGGGAGCCACTCAGGGCTGTGCCCACAGGCCCTCAGTTAAGTCTGGCTCTGCAGCTGGCCAGGGGTCTTTAAGCGTCTGAAGGCCTGCCCCCTCGGGGCCCCACTGGAAGCTGCACTGCTGTAGCCTTCAGCAATGGGAGGGACGAGGACAAATCCCCCCTGCTGGACTTGGCCACTGGGCAGGTGAAGGGAAAACTATGTTTTTAAAAACCTGCTTCCCCACACCCTGGGACAGGCTGCTGCATTAGCACTTGCTCAGTGGCCCGTGCGGGAGCTGGGGCCCCCGGTGAAACAAGAGCCTGCCCTGACATCCAGGCACCAGAGGCTTCTGGTCCTGTGGGGAGGCAGCGGGCGGGCAGGCAAAGAGAAACCGGCATGGCTGGGGTTCCCGAGGGGTAACCGCTGGGGGCACTGAGGAGGTTTTGGGGAGAGAGCGAGAGCGCGCCTTTAATTTGGGTCGGGGACAATCAAAGGTGGGATTTTAGGAGGGGACACTGGAGGTGGACCGTGAAGAACATGCAGGAAGCCTGCCAAGAGAGGAAGCAGTGGCAAGCCTGCATTCCAGGTAAACAGAACAGAACGTGTGGAGAGGGGAGCCGGCAGGACCAGTCGTGTGGCTCGATGCAAGGGCCTCTACCTCTTGGTGGGCGTGTCACACGCCCCATGTGCCCACCGCATGCCCCCACCACACCAGCGTGGAACCTGGAGGCCCCAGCTCCCGTGCAGGGAGTTGGACTGCGTGGCCGGGGCACGGTTTCTTCAGACAGGGACCGGGATGGAAGTTGCAGCCCCAAAGGGTTTCTGGCCAGCTCTGCACAAGTGCTCCCCAGGGAGCCCGGCGCCTTGGCACTCGGTACGGCGTTCATTCATTCGTTTAGCGTGAGGTTTCCCTGGGCTGAACTGGCGCAATGGTTGGTAGTGAGCCAGAGAAGGGCTGCAAGCCCTACAGCTGTAGGTCCTTACAGAAACCTATTTGGCGAGTGAGGGAGCCAGAGAACCCAGAAGGGAGCGGTCCAGCAACCCACTGCCATCCCCACCCTAGGTATGGGGTTGCCTTCTAGAACACCCCATGCCCTCCACAGATAAGCCTCACAACCTCAGCTTCTGGTTCAAGTAGTTGGGGGGATCAGTGACCCCCTTGGTAGGCTAGGTACCCACAGGCCCAGGGTAAGGTCCAGCACAGACGGGTGGGCCAACCAAACCCAGCCACCACATCTCCATTTAGCTTTCAGGCTAAAGTGACTCTTTGTTTCTGTTTGTCAACACCTTGTTCATCCGAATATAATTGATGAACTCAAGTGCCGGAAGGCCAAGGGGTAGAAAACACACGGCCCGGCCTGTATAGGAGGCACCTCCCAGCAAATGCCTGGGTTCAGGGTCCAGCACAGAGGAAGCTCTCCCAGTTCTGGGGGTTCAGAGGCCTATTGAGAGCTGTCCCCACCTCAGGAAGCCCTCGATGAGTGCTACATCAGACGGGGCCTTTGCCTCCCATACACTGGGATGCAGGATGGCCCTAGGCCGTGCACTTGCCAGGCACCCTGGCCTTCTGACCCACACTGGGGTGTCCTCTCCTCACAGCACCCCCGGCTCAAGCTTAGCCTGCAGCAAGCCCTTGGTCAATATTGGCAGAGGGAGGACTGGGCACTCCCTACTCGTCATTCAGGGAAGAAGCATTTCTCTGCAAGAGGAGGGCCCAGACCCAGCTTAATCCAGCTGACTCTTCATCCCTTACTCCTCCCACATGGTTTCCCCATGTGATAGAGAATGAGACCTGGGGCTTCATCACTGCTGGGTCCCTGATTCTAAAGGGGCCAGGAGTGGAGGGTGAAATGCAAGTTTCCTTGAACCAGGGTGGCTCCCTCTTTATTGTGGCTAAGGTTCTTTTGTGTGTAAGATTTCAATGGAACAAAGGTCTGGGCATTAAAATGGAAAGCTCGAGAAATTGGGCGTTGCTGTACCACCCTCGTGTGATAGATGGGGGCTGAGATCAAAGACCCAACACCCCTCCACCCCATCCCCGTAAAGAAAAGCCAAAGAAAAGCCGTTCCTTGGATTCCCAGCTTGGTGTTTTATTGCCCCCCCCTTACAACCTGCAAGTCTTTTCAGAAAGAAGAGTGATGGGCCAGCCGCCCCAGGCCTGACCTTTGGCCCACCTCCCTTTGGCCTTTCCTCCCCTTTAAGCCCTGTCCTTCAGGATCCAGGTCAGGAGGAGCACATGGTTGAGCAGGCCTGGAGGTCAATCTTTAAATCAGAGAGAAGAGTAAGGCAACTCAGATTTAGCCCGTGAAATGAACCCCCAAGTGAATGGACCCCCCCCCCCCCCCCCCCCGAGTTTCCTTCCCTGAAGGAAACAAGGTTTCCACCTGGTGCTTTCTATATAGGTTATTACAGTAACTCCCCAGACTTGTGGAGTATGAGCTGAGACGGTCGTGCCCAGGCAGCTGTTGGCCACTTGGGTGGATTTTATCTGGGCCAGAGGTTGGAAACTATGGCCCCGGAGGCCAAATCCAGCAACAATTTTTCAGTGGTTAAAAAAACAAAAACACACAAAACAAATAAACAAAAACTACTACTCTGATAATATCAAATCTAACTTTCCGTGACCATAAAGGTTTTTTTTAAAGCAGCCATGTTCACATTATTTATGGCTCCTTCCCCACGACAATGACAGCGCTGAGTATTTTCGGCCGAGGGCGACCATATGGCCCCCAAACTGAGAAGAGTGAGCGTCCGGTCCTTCACAGAAAGCGTTTGCCGACCCCTGCCAGCTCGGTCACCTGAGCTGCTTTGTGCCAACTGAACACAAGGACTGACTGCACAAGATCTTCACAGCCCTCCAGGCGAAACCCTTCAAACATAATGGAAAGCGCGTGTCTGTTCCACGGCACCGGCTGCCTGGGCTGTGTGGGCCCTGGGTCAGGATCTGGGATCTGGTACAACCCCAGGCTTAGCTGACGCC